CTTACAATGAATGTTTTTTGTCTCATTGATTGTTCTATATTATCTTTCTAATTTTGACTGAAATTTTGATCTTTATTGATTTTTTCTTTACTATTTCCTTCCTCTTCCTTGCTTTAAGCTCGCTTTGCTCTTCTTTTTCTAGTTTTCTTTTTCTTTTTCTTTCTTTCTTTCTTTTTCTTTTTTTTTTTTAGTTAGGAACTCAAGAATACCTTTTCTTTTCTAAGATAAACATTTAGTGCTATAATTTTCCTCTCTGTAATACTTTACCTGCATCCCATGATATTTGCTATGTTTGTACATTTGTATTGATTCAATTCTATGTAATTTTTTACTTCTTTGGTACTTCTTTTTGGGCCCATGTATTATTTAGTAGTCTGTTGTTTAATTCCCAAGTGTTTGGAGATTTTCTCCTTACCTTTCTTTTCTTTTTAAAGATTTTATTTTATTTATTCATGAGAGAGAGAGAGAGAGAGAGAGAGAGAGAGAGGCAGAGACACAGGCAGAAGGAGAAGCAGGCTCCATGTAGGGAGCCTGACGTGGGACTCGATCCTGGGTCTCCAGGATCACGCCCTGGGCTGAAGGTGGAGCTAAAGCGCTGGGCCTGGGGGCGGCTCCTCCTTACTTTTCTTTATTGATTTCTAATTTGACCCCACTATGAACAGAGAACATATTCTGAGTTCAATTCTTTTAAATATGACACAAGATATGGTCCTTTTTAATGAATGTTCCATAGGTGTTTATAAAGAATGTGCTTTCTGTTATTGTTGGGTGGAGTGGTTTATAAACGTCAATTAGGTCTTGTTGGTAGCGTTAATTATGTATCCTTGCTGATTTTCTGTCTAGTAATGCTATCAATTTGTTGATTCTAAGTCCCCAATTATAATTGTGAATTTGTCTATTCCTTCTTTCAGCTCTCTTAGTTATTGCTTGATGTATTTTGAAGCTCTGCTATTTGTAAACATGCATTTAAAATGATTAAATATTCATAGTAGATTGATCCTTTTATTATCAAGTAATGTCCTTCTATGTCCCCAGTAATTTCTTTTCTCCAAAGACCACTTTATTTGATATTAATAGAGCCACCACTGCTTTTTCTTTTTCTGGATTCATATTTGTATGATCTATTTTTTTGCATCCTTTTACTTTCAATTTGGAAATTTCAGTGTAAAAAACAAATAGCTGAATCATGTTTTCTTAATTATACTCTGCTATTCTGTCTTTTAATTGAGGTACTTAAACCATTCACATATTAAATATTGATATGTTAGAGCTTAAGTAATTTTATTATTTGATTTCTTTTGTGCTGTGTCTTGTTCCTCTGTTTCTTTTTTCCTCCCTCCCTGTCGGTAGCAGGAACATTTGTTTTAGGGTCCCATTTTTATTTATTTGTAATGCTTTTGAGTTTATCACCAGGTATAGCTCCCCTAGTGGCTGTTCTAGATATTAACATACATAACATCATAGACTACTGGTGTCAACATTGTATCACTTCCATTTTGGTCTCTTTGCCCCCCCTATTTTTTAGAAACATTTTTCTTAAGTATTTCCTCTCTATATATTCACATCAGATGGCACTGCATCTTTTGTTTCAACCATAACATATATTTAAAGAAACTTATAAGGTGAAAAATAGTCTATTATGTTTATTTCTGTTCTTACACATTCTGTCTCTTTCCTTTCTGAAGGTACTAGCTATTATCATTTGCTTTTTGTTTGGAGAGCTTCCTCTAGCCATTATCCAAGAGTAGCTCTGTTAGAAACTAATTCTTTCCATTTCTCTTCATCCTAGAATACATTTATTTCTAAATATAGTTTCAATGGATATAGGATTCATGGTTGATAGTTTTTTCTTTCAGAACTTGAAAAATGCTATGCCACTTCCTTTTGTCCTCCACGGTTTCAGATGAGAACACTGCTGTTATTTGAATTGGTGTTACTTTATAGGTAACGTATCACTTTTTCTGTTTTTAAGGTTTTTTTCATTGCCTTTAGTTTTTAGTAACAATTACAATGGGTCTTGGGGTAGATTTGAGTTTTTCTTATTTGAGATTTTCTCAGCTTCTTGAATCTATAGACCTCTGTCTTTATCCAAATTTGGGGAGTTTCCAACCATTATTTCCTTGAATACTTTTTCAGTCTCACACTCTTTTGCTTCTCCTTCTGGAATTCTGATAATATACAATGTTAAGTCTTTTGTTATTATCACACAAATCTCAGATTTGCTCATTTTTTTTCAGTCTCTTTTCTCTCTGTTCTTCTGAGTAAATACTATTTAATTTCATCCAAGTTTACTGATTCTATCCCCATCTCCACTCTATTGTTAAGACCACCTAGCAGCATTTGTTTTATTACTCTTATTATTATATTTTTCAGTCCTACATTTGTCCTTTTTTTAAAGTAGGCTCTACACGCAGCATGGAGCCCAACATGGGATTTGAACTCATAACCCTAAGATCAAGACCTGAGTTGAGATCAAGAGTTGGATACTTAACTGCCTGAGGCGCCTTTCCATTTGATTTCTATAACTTCTATATCTTTGCTTAGATTTTCTATTTTTTCACTTGTTTCAAGAGAATTTGAAATTGATTGCTAAATTATTTTTTCTAGCATCTGCTTTAAAATCCACATCAGATACTTCCAACATTGTATTCATCTCAGTGTTGGCATCAGTTGATTGTCTTTTCTCATATAGATTCTGGTTTTCCTGGGGTTTGGTATGGTAAATAATTTTTGTTGTATTCTACACATTTGGTTATCATATTAGGAGACTCTTGATCATGTTTAATTCTTTTATTCTAGCAGGTAGTTTAATTATTTAGGTTTGGAGCATAGATTCTCACCTACTCTCAATGTTTCAATAAAAAGTTAGTTTTCAGGGTCCTTACACCACTATTCTAGTCTTCTGGAGTTTCCTTTCAACTTCTGCTTCCTCTTATCTCCTATGTGAGAGTAGAATAGGCTTTTCTAGGCTGCTTTGTATTCCTGGGCCTTCCTCTGTGGAGGGGTGTAGTGGGCCTGAACCTATTAATGTCACTAGGTATATAAAGTTTGATGTTGTCCCTCTGGGTGTAAGTGTACAAGCTGGTGCCCTGGTTGGGAAGTGGGGTTTGGGATGACCAAGATTTTCTTGCTGTTACTGCTACTGGCAAAATGGATAGCCAGCCCTGTGTTGTGAAGCAGAAGGTTTCGGCTCCTCACTAGGCCTTTGTTTTGCTTCGTTCCCAGTATTTGGAGAGACAGAACAGACTTTTCTCAGGATTTCTTGTTTATGCCTATTGATGGTTTTAGATTGCAGGACTTTCTTTGTCCCCAGTCCAGAGTATGTGTGCGATGAAAAGAAAACTAAGAAACTCACCATATTGTCCTTTATTAATACTACCATTGCTCATAGCTCAAGTCCTTATAATTTATTATCTCCCATCATTTATCAGATGCCCGGGGCATTCACTATATGTAAGCAATTAGCTTCTCTCCTATGCATCTAGAACAGTATTACCTATGGATCACACTTGGAAGAATCGCCAGACACACTCAAACAAATATGGGATATAGCATCACCATGGAAGTTCATCATCAGTTTCTACAGATAGAAATGAGACTAGGCTAAAGTTACCTGTGAAGTAAACCATAATTCCACCCCTCTCACTGATCCATAACCTACAGAATGTGACACTAGACTTTAATTGACCTTACAGTGAAAGGATTGTATGATAAGATTTTACCTTAAGAAATATTTAAATCATGTCCTTAACAGCCTTGCTTCATAATACTATTGTGAGGATATAGCAATATTTGGTATAGTCCCTGGTATATAGGACTTAGTAAATTATCAATTATCATTACATTATTCATTAAGCAAATATTTTGAGAACCTAGTTGTGCCAGTGAAATTATAGAACATTTCAACTGGAATAAAAAGATAATGGTCTACTAAATAAGTAAATAAACAAAGTAATATTGAATAATGTGAATTTACATACAGAGAATAGAGAGTGGAAGGCTACTTTGACTTGTCATGGAAAGCCTCTCTGAGGAGAGGATTTTTAAGCTAAGATCTGAATGTTAACAAGGAACCAACCACGAGAATGGTCAAGGGAGAGCATTTCTCCCAGAAGGTACAACTGGAATAAAGACTATAAGAGCACCCTGGCACAGTCAAGAAACAGAAAGTCCAGGAGGATTCATTACAAATATCAGGGAAGCCACTAGAGAATTGTTATTATTGGAAAAACCTAATTCTAAGAGATTTATTCTAATAAATATAATAATAAATATAAGCATAGTTCCCTGCTGATGAACACAATGTTCCTCTATAGAGTCTGATTGATAGATTCATTAATTTGCAGGCTTACCAAAACTCTATACTGGTTTTCATCTTAACAAAAATGTGGATCTGGGTTGCTCATTATAGTATCTGGCATAAGAAACAATTCATATAATTTTGGGGAATAGTCACTGATCATATTTTCTTCTATTTTAGTTTATGATAAAATGACTAACATGTTTTGAAGATTTGTTAGTACATTGGTGGATCTTTATTTCACTAGGAGCCTCCATGGAGATGTCAAGCATCTAAGATGCTTTGGGTATCTTTATCACATTACTAATGTATGAATGAGGACAGAAGGAAATAGTGTCCACCATAAAATAATACATACATGAAAGTAGTCCTAGACTCCTCTGCTTAACTTGCATTTTAATAAAATGGCATGGATAAATTAATTAGATGTAGTCCTCTTTTATGACAAGTAATATCTTTCTCTATGCCAATGATTTTAAAATAATAAACCAGGATTTTCCTAGAGTCCACAGATAGTTAGAAGGAGGCTTTGATTTATATCCAGGCCTCTCCTTTTTGTAAGATTTTATTATATTGCCTTTAAATTAAGAAATTCCTGAATAATTCATTTCATTCCAACCAGAAACATTCATGTATGCAGGCATAATATTTTCAAATTATAATTGTTCCACTGCTGAGCAGTCCTCTTGTTTTTTTCCAGATATGAATGAAGCACAAGCAGAGCACATTCTGAACAGCTGTAAGTTCGAGAATATCAGTGTAATGTTTGTAGATCAAATGCTAAAACTCAAAATACTGCTAGAGTTTCTCTATTTCCATGTTTACTATTTTGCAAAAATATATATTTCTGAATAAATACATGACCTAATTTTCCATAAGGAAAAAAATACTATTAATAATTGGGAATATGTACATGGGCTCCTTAGAAATAACTTGTTATTCCTGACAGTAAGTTTCATTGATTACTTCTTTTAACAATTCCTTATCTTTGTTCTATTTTATTAAGATTTTATTTAAGATTTTAATTATTTATTCGTGAGAGACACTGAGAGAGAGAGAGGCAGAGACATAGGCAGAGGGAGAAGCAACCTCCATGCAGGGAGCCTGATGTGGGACTTGACCTGGGGACTCCAGGATCACGCCCTAAGCCAAAGGCAGACGCTCAACTACCCAGGCTATCTCCCCTATAATTTTATCATATTTATTTTTACTTGGTTCACTTTGTTAAAGTAGAAAATTCTGCTTAGAATTAAATGACACCGGGGATCCCTGGGTGGCTCAGCAGTTTTGCGCCTGCCTTTGGCCCAGGGCGCGATCCTGGAGTCCCAGGATCCAGTACCGAGTCGGGCTCCCGGCGTGGAGCCTGCTTCTCCCTCTGCCTCTCTCTCTCTCTGTCTATCATAAATAAATAAAAATAAATCTTAAAAAAAAAAAGAATTAATTGACACCCACTAATTTTAATTATGTGAATTTTGACAAATCATAGTAGAATAATGGTTATAATATTAGACAAGTATTTTAAGTGTACAAATGATATTTTTCTGCAATTAATAGTGTACATTTGCACTCAAAATTGTCAGATATTCCTGGAATAAATTGCCGTCCATAATAAAATAACCTAAAATATATGAAAAAACAAATCTTAAGCTGAAGCGGCTTTAAATGTACCAAGGAGAATATTACATAGTTTATTTCAAAAAATTAATCATTTTTCAATTTGAATAATCATTCTATTATATAATTTTGATTAATTTTTTAAAGGCAAGGCAAACCTACAAATGTTTCCATCTTTAACTCTGTGTCAAATATGCCTACACATGTTTATAACTCTGTTTAAAAATAACCATCCTATAGCTACACTTGTTGCAAGCGTAGCATAATGTATAGAGAGGTTGAATCTCTATGTTGTACACCTAAAACTAATGTAACATTGTGTGTCAACTAAAATAAATGAATAAAATAAAATATATAAATAACTATCTTATTTCCTTCTGACAGGTTGTGGAAGAGGGAAGGAGTTTCCTTCCATGGAAAGAATTGCTGAGGGTTATCCTGCAAAAAAAGCTGATTGGCCATGGCAAGCCAGCCTGCAAATAGATGGCATTCATTTCTGTGGAGCTTCTTTGATCAGTGAGGAGTGGCTCCTGACTGCTGCTCATTGCTTTGATATGTAAGTCCTCAGTCTGTATCAACAGGATCACCAATTTCATTTCCTTTTCTCACCTTCATTTCTTATAACTGTCATCCCCTTTTCATTCGTTTTTTGTTTTTAAAGATTTTTAATTTATTTGAGAAAGAGAGATAGAGAGAGGGAGCGTGAGCATAAGCAGGGGGAGGGCAGACGCCCCACTCAACAAGGGGATGGATGAGGGTCTCAATCTCAGGAACCCCTGGACCCTGAGATCATGATCGGAGGCAAAGGCAGATGCTTAACCAATTTTTAGCTAGCCAGGTACCTCTAATTTTTTCATTCTTTTCTGAGCATCTAGGCCTCCCACTGGAACTTATGACTGTGAAGCAGGCTTAGGGACAAATGACAGATACTAAAGAGTAGCAGAAAAGTTAGAGAATCTTCAGCTCCAACTGAAAATATATTCTCCAGCAATCCTAACTTTAAGAACAAGTCAACACTGTCAAAAGTTAAACACAGTCAACAGTTTTCCTAAGATATATTGTAGATTTAAAAAAAAAAAAACTCTGCTAATATAGTATCCTTACCCACAAACTTACATCAGATTATCCCATATGAATATATTTAGTGCTGCACTGTTATTATTATATCTTTTTTGAAGATTTAACGTCAGGCATATGAGGAGATAATAAAGAGATAACAATAACTGTAGTGAAATTCATATAATATGGGAAATATTCTAGGTAAAATGTTAACTAAAAAGAAAGGATGAGAAAACAATATATAATGTATGGCTCCAATGTGACACCTCTCCCTCTCCTTTTCCCTTCATTCCCTCTCTCTTTCTCCTTCCATAGCTATACAGATGTTTATATTACTGCATGCATATGAGGGTATATATGTGTGTGGGCATGTACATATGTGGATACATAGGTCTAATTTTATTTATTTATCTTCAACTAATCTGTATTACTTTTATAATCAAAATAACAATAATATTTTGTTTCCTTTAGAAAATACAAACTCCTCCTCAAGAGGAGTAATAGAAGCTACCTTAGAATGGGGGGATTTGTATCGGCTAAATAAAGCAAAGCAGTCCTGGGGGAGAAGCCTCAAATAAAGTGGGAAGACCCATCAACTATCACCTTAAACAATTTGTCCTTCTACTGCCCCTATGTCCCATGCCGATTCAGAGTCCTGGGCAACTTTGAATCAGCAATGAATCAACCCTAATCCTTTTCATCTGTGATCAGTTACAAAAACCCCAAACTCTGGACGGCTAGTTTTGGAACAACTCTCAGCCCTCCATTGATGAGAAGAAAGATACAATCAATTATCATTCACGAAAACTATGCTGCCCATAATCATGACGATGACATCGCTGTGGTGAAGCTCTCCACCCCAGTCCTATTTTCCAGTGATGTGGGCAGAGTCTGCCTCCCAGATGCTACTTTTGAAGTCTTGTCTCAGAGTCCAGTGTTTGTCACTGGATGGGGAGCATTAAAAACTAATGGTGAGTATCTCAATAAAAAAAAAAAAAGCCTAAGCAAAAAATGCAAACCCATCTTCCATTTGAATGGAGACATAAAGTAAGATTCAAAATCACAGTATTGAAAATAAGAGATGAAATCAAGATGTCCTGTGAAAAGTATCACAAAACAACAAACAGAAAAACCCAGATATGGTGACTTATGAAAACTTTGGCTATAGCTGTTACACAGTATCTATGTTTAATGTCTTCTTTATGGGCTATTTTGGAAACTAGTTATAACTTTCTTTTCAAAAATTATTAAAGCATGTTTCTTCACATCCTTTCTTTCTGTTGCTGTCTCAATATGCAGAGATTCTGCTATGGCTGCATGAATCTTAAAGTATGTGATTTGTGAGCAGTAATAATGATAAACCTCTATAATGTGTCATGCAACTAAACAAAAACATTCTTAAGCATCAATTTAAAAGGCACATGTGATGCTAAATATTAAACAGTTCCCTCGGATGTATCTATGGAGGAGTTTTTGACCTTAGGAATTCATAAAGTTCACAAGTATGGCATTTTACTACATTTAATAACACACAATAAACCGCAAAGATAGATCTTTAGGTCCTGATATGAGTCTCTAGTTCTACTTCTCTTAGGGAAACAATTTACATATAGTTTCATCTGCCTTTGAGTTTCTGATTCTTGTTCCAGACTTTTATAGGAATCTCCTTCCTTTCAGTATGTACTTCAAAATTCTGACATTGGGTGCAGGTTGTTATACTGTCATAATCTGAGAATTCTTTTCCTTGTCTCTGGGAGTCTGCTTCATTCTATAGGGAATGGTAATGAGTACAAACGGGAATCAAATCCTTTGGGATTCGACAGTACCTATTGAAGGGAAGCAGATTCCTATAAAAATGAAATGGCAAAGACTTGGTAGATCAAGTGCATAAATAAGACTACAACATTTTAGTAAGAGTCTGGAACACGAATCAGAAATTCAGAGGCAGATGAAACTATATGTAAATTGTTTACCTAAGAAATAGATCATGTTTTATTAACAGCCCTTCTTCCTTTTCTCAATTGTCTTTGAATCTGTTGTAAACAGAATACCCATCTCCATATGAAGAACTAATACAGTCTTTAAAATAAAAGCTGTTAAGAGGTAACGAGGAGAACAGAATGATAAAAACATAAATACGCAATTTCGGGATCCCTGGGTGGCGCAGCGGTTTGGCGCCTGCCTTTGGCCCAGGGCGCGATCCTGGAGACCCGGGATCGAGTCCCACGTCGGGCTCCCGGTGCATGGAGCCTGCTTCTCCCTCTGCCTGTGTCTCTGCCTCTCTCTCTCTCTGTATGACTATCGTAAAAAAAAAAAAAAAAAAGTGCTTTTCATATATAACAAGTCAATAAATGTGTGGGTCATTAATAAAACATGATCTGTTCCTTATCTTGGTATTTATTACTTACCCTGGAATTAGTTTTGGATAGCCATTTGAGATCAAAGTAGACATGGGTCTTCTGATGAAGTAAGCGTATTCCATTTATTCAGCATTACAATGACTTACTACGATACAACCTTGCTCTATACTGCTCTTCCTAAAGGATTCTCAATTCCCAGTATAGTTGTGTTCTTTTTAGAGTAATGTGGTAGATTTTCAGGTAAGGTAAGGTGAACTATCACAGATTATTCCAGGTGGTGAGAAATGCCCTGGGCTTAAATTTAATGTCATCTCCCATTTAGCTATGTGATCAATAAGAGTCATACTGGGTAAACTTTGTTTTTCTCGTCTGAAAAAGAGGATATTCGTATCTAACTTTGTTGGTTATTGCAAGGATTAAGTAAGACAGTGGAAGTAAATGTGCCAAAATGGTACCTAGCACATAGAAGGCATACAAGAAATATAACTTTAACCTTAGCATTGTCATTAAGCTCAGAGTCCTACAACTTCAAGACATATGCCTTATCACTGATCCATCGTTTGTAAGATACAACAATTATCATAAGCAATAACATGAAAATTCTTCATCTACTTTTTTCTTCTTTAGGTCCCTTTCCCAATGCTCTGCGACAAGTCGAAGTAGAGATCATAAGTAACGATATATGTAATCAAGTTAATGTATATGGTGGTGCCGTATCATCAGGAATGATATGTGCTGGATTTTTAACAGGAAAACGAGATGCCTGTGAGGTAAGAATAGACGCAAATCCACAAAAGTGCATTTGTTGAATAGAGGTGGCGTTACTGACCATAGGCCAATATCACTTCATATGACTCCATATAATTAAGTTGTGGAGGAGATAGGAGAATGTAAAGAGAGGGAATGGGAGACCTATAAGATATGCTCCTCATTTAACATCCTATTATTGTTCAGAACCACATGTAAAAAATGACCATCAGTTGCAAATTAGGGCTTTGATTAGAGGGAAAGAAAATCCTAGAAGCAGATAGTATAAACCAAGCCAGAAAGGCACACAATCATTGCTTCAAGTCACAGTGATAACAATTGGGTATCTAATCCCTACTACATGTAAGGCACTATGGAATGGGGTCTGCAGATATCTCCATGGCCAATAGACCACCATCATCTTACCAGTGCTTACTCCTTTGGGCTTTAGCAGTGTACATTCAGATAGAATTACACTATTAGGGGAAAAATATATTTATCTACACTCACTCATATTAAAGTGTCACTTCACAAATTATATCTTAAAATTAACTAAATAAATAGCATTTTCCCAAACCATACAAAACATTAATTTTAAGTATTAAGCATTTAAGAATATCAGTTTTAAAGCCAGGGCACTTAAAAGACTAAAAATAAGTAACTAAAATACTAAAGATTTTGACTTGGGGTCCAACAGTTTAGCAGTTCTTAAAAGATTAGGAAATGTTTGACAATTTGATACGTACACCTGTGTTTCCTAAGTGTATAGGTGGCACTATTGGTCTGCCATTGGCTGTCTGTAATGCGATATAATAAACATTCATTCACTTATTCATTCAAGGCTTTTTTATTTTTTTGTAAGTTGCAAGGTAATGTGGCAATTACTGAAGGAAACATAAACATAAAAAAAAAACAAAACCTATGTTGAATTCACAATGGATTTACATTCTAGTAATGTAGCACACAAGTAACAAAAAGAACAAAAACCTAGGATTTGGCTACATATTCTAGAATATAAGATCTCCTTCCACTCACTTTACTTCCTGAGGAAAAGCAGAAACAACAGGGTGGTCCATGATACAACTGGATCACATTACATCTGAGCAGTAATATAAATTTACACAAGAGCAGATGTTCTCTTCCATTGGTCTGTGCTTCCTTGCTTCCTTCATCAGTAGCAAAGTAAAATACTGAGGACCTAAATGAGATGTCATCCTACAGGAAAGGAGCTGAGGAGCATTGTGTTTAGTAGACCAGAGTTTTCATACTCTGTCCACTGAGCTCTAAAGTGTACTAAGAAGCATGGAAAGGGAAGGGAAGAGAACTAAAGGCACAAGGCTCTAGGACCCCCGGCCTGCTTCAAACAGGCTCATTAAAAAAAAAAAAAAAAAAAAAAAAAACAGGATCATTTTTTTTAAATATAAAATAAGTCTATAAGGGGCTTCCATATAATGCTTCATTCGAATGAGTAGGTTCATTGCTAAAAAATAATTTCAAAAATTATTAATCTAAACCTTAGGTTAAAGATATCAGGGAAGTCCTCAAGATTCATACACTTCAAACCAGTTCTCTAGGGCTAGGGATTAAGTCTTCATTTGGAAACAAAAGCCTGTCTGTAATAAATAATGCACTTTGCCTGGGGTGCCTTTTGCATTTATCTTTCTCCTTTCAAACCTATTGCTGAACAACAGTATCACATCCAGGACAGTTTCCTATCGACTAGTGTGAATGGAATAGCGTGCAGTTCAAATTTAAAGCAAGTGATTATATCTAGCTAACAGGACAGGAGTTGACATATAGTTGAGGCTTGAAGTCATTTATGTAAGAATTGTATGCCTGGACTTAGGTTCAGTTTGTGCTTCCTGTTTAGAAAGAGCAAAACTAAAAACTACACAAAGAGAAAACTTAACTTTATTCACACTACCCTCCAAATGAAGACATCAACACAGATAAGCGAAAGTAGTAAGATAAAAAAGAGTTGCAAGTGATATACTCTACTGTTACATTAATATTGATGGCAAGTAAAAATAGAATTCATTTTATACATTCAATTTAAAATATTAATTTGGTAGATAGTCACAGGCTCATTAACTTGCATTTTTTACTCCTCTTAATTTATTACATTGACTGTGTACATTTCTTCTTCTCCAGGGTGATTCTGGAGGACCTCTTGTTATAGCTCGTGATAGAAGCATCTGGTATCTTATTGGAATAGTAAGCTGGGGAATAGACTGTGGAAAAAAGAACAAGCCTGGACTTTACACCAGAGTGACTCGTTATCGGGACTGGATTAAATCTAAAACCAACATCTAATGCAACAATCACCTCTACATCCGCAGTGTAAATGAGGTCTCTAGGAAATTGTGTTTAGTATGTGTTGCCATGTATACTGTCACTGAGTTCAAGATGCAAATAAGCGTAATCTGACAACACGCCTCTTAAACATGAGAAAAGCAGACATTCTTTTACATCATTTGAAGTGTTTTGCTAACCATGAGCATACAAGATACTGTCAACTCCACAAATATCTGCCCCCTGCTGCTAAGTGTCTCTCATTATCTCCTTGCTCATCTTCCTGTTCCTACTACATACTTCTTTTTTTAGAATAATCCCATTTAATCAGACAAATACCCACTGGCTAAGCATTCTCTATTTTTCTCCCTGACAGGGCATGCTGCCCTTCCCTGACTCCACAGTTTTTAACCTCTCCACTAAATAATCCTCATTAAGAATCTGTAGGCTCATGGTACTAGACAAATCAAGGTAATTCGTTTTGGCAAATGCTAACACAAATGTGGTGGGGCACTAGATGGGAACCTGGGACTTACAAGATGGCACTACTATGAGTCCTTCCCTTTTGTCCTCAGATGCACACGTACCTCTCTTTGAAACATGAAGAACATTGACTTTTACATTTACACCCAATAGTACAGATTTTAAACTCTTTAAACTACTACCTAATATATACCTTGGAACAATGAATACATCTGTAGACCAGACAGCAAAACTGGAAACAATGCCTAGCACAGGGTTCTGTTCTACACTACCCCAAAATGCTTTTTTGATATTTAGGGGAAAAAAAAAAACAAAATTTCTTGTCCTTATTGTTAGGTGGAAACAAGAAGAGAAAAAGGACTCCTCGAGAAGGAGCTACTTTCCATCTCTAAAAATGAGAGAAGTTCCAAACCTGATGTAAATTTACTTTCCGCTTCTGTTTTATTAGATCTTAATGCATTTTATTTTCTAAATAGTTTTATTTTCAAACAACTTCAGAACACGTAAGGAACCCACAGAATAAGAAATCAGTATAAATTACATATTTGTAAATAACTTGAGAAGCCAGTATAAAATTAGACATCCACAAACAATTTGATACAAGATTTTGAAAAAGACCTTATTGTCTAATATTTAAATTTCCTATTAAGAAAGTGCTGGCATTCTTTGACGTATGGTATTTTTAGAGAATATTCAAATAATTTAGAAAGTTTTTGGAGAGATTTAACTTGTATGATAAAACAGTCATTTTCATATGTATTTAAATGTATATTTTGTGACACTGTATATGACTATGGACTAGTATGGAACAAAACTCAAACCTCTTCTGTGCTTCTAAATCCTTGCTTCCCCCTCTCCATTATGATTAATTTGGCTAATGAAATAACTGCTGCGCTAAGATTTTCTTCTGAGTTTTATATCAGCTGAGAGTCTCTCTTATCCCACATACATAATATTATATTGTATACATTAAAATATATTTATAATAATAAACTCAAACTAATTTTCTTTGAATCATGACTATATTGCATTATACTTTTTCTACTTTTGCCCTACTGACATTAGTCAAAGATAATTCTTTATTGTGAGGGAATGTGGCAGCTATCCTGTGAATCACAGAATATTTAGCTACATTCCTTACGGCTATACACTGTGCCAGTAGTAATTCCCACCAAGTTGTAACAACCATAAACGTATCCAGAGATTGTCAAATGTCTACCAGGGGGGGCAAAATCACCCCCTAAGAACCACTGCCATTGTATCAACAGTCAGAGGAAAAAATCATTATTAAAAACCTTACAACCACAATTTCCTTACATGGAATGTCTGAGAATATCTTTCATCTCCCCCCCCCTTTTTTTTTATAATGTTGATGTGTTGGGAGTTCTAAAAGATCGTCCATGATGATCACACTTATATCTAAACAATCCTAGCCAAATTAAGATCATTTGGAAACTGAACCTGTTTGGGAGGCTGTTTATACAGATCTATTGAGATAGAGATCTATCTATAGGTAGATCTCGATTGATGTGTATAGATATAGAGAAATCTATATAAATTTCTCTCTAGAAAGAGATTTGTCAAATATCTAAATCCTGCATAATCATACCATGTATATTCTATTTAATGTTCTCAGAATGTATAAATAGATACTTCCGGGAAAGAGATTTACATATTCAGCTAAGGCAGAATGGCTCAGTCAGTCCTCCCCTAGCACTGCAGAGTGGAGAATAGGAAGTGGATGGCATCACATCCACTAAAAACTGAACTATCCGATATGGTAGTCACCAGCCAAGGGACTATTTAGATTTAAATTCATTAAAATTAAATACAATTAAAGTTCATTTCCTCAGTCATACTAATATCATTTCTAATATAAAATAGCCACATGAGGCTAATGGCTACCATATTGGGCAGCACCGATATACATTATTTGCATCATCATCAAAGTTCTATGGACATCACTGGCCTAGAGCACTGTATAAACACATAAACCACATACTCATTCATCTAACAAGCATTTCTGGAACCTCCTGTGTCAGACATTGGGTATTCTAGACATTGGGTATGCAATTGTATATAAAACTAAGTTCTGAGCAGCCTGGGTGGCTTAGTGGTTTAGCGCCGCCTTCTGCCCAGGGCATGATCCTGGGGACCAGGGATCGAGTCCCACGTCAGGTTCCCTGCATGGAGCCTTCTTCTCCCTCTGCCTGTGTCTCTGCCTCTCTCTCTCTGTGTCTCTCGTGAATAAATAAATAAAATCTTTTAAAAAAATAAAACTAAGTCCTGTTCTCAAGACCACATAAAGAGGTAAAAGTATCTTTTGTAATGACTCTTGAATATAGCAAAACCTTTGGGGAATATGGCTGGCCATGTACAGCATGATGACTTCTAGACTCTTCTTCTTCCAGTGTCATTGGCCCACTAGTAGAGAGTGTTCTCTGTATAAGCTATATCAGGCCCACCAGAGACCCACAGGTAGACTGAAGTGGTCACAAATGGGTATGGGTTTTTAACCTTCCTTAGACAAGGATCCCAGCACTTCCTCAAGCAATGGTATATTAAAGAATCAAAAATAGTTTTCTGGTGCTTTTTAAGTCAACAGAGAATTTCTTATTACCCAGGAAACTATATTAATGGTAACCAAACAAAAGAGTAGCAAATAATAGAGGAGCATCAGAGTAACTTAGTCACACAGATTAAAAATATAAAAAAAATATGTTAAGCAAGAAGCCAACCCAAGTAAAACGGGACTGGATTGCACAACATGTCAGTATTGTTTCATTGTAGATAAATCCAAGAAATGTAGAAACAACAGATCACTATGATCCAAATCCATGTTTATTAAAAACACTGTAAGGCACAAAGAAACATAGATCAAATGTGTTACTATGCTGCCATCTCCTGGTCTACATAATTTTTTAATATACTTTATTGTAATTGCAATTCAAGCTCTAAAGTTACACAAGCTATCTTCCAACATAGAGTAGAATATAGAAAAATCTGGCAATCTCTCCCCAATTTTCTCACGAGGTAATAGAATTTTAATTTCTGTATATCCTATAATATTGTTCTATTTCTACAAATATAAAGAAATATGTTTATTCACTTATAAAGCGCCTACCCACTTTTTAAAAAACGATTGTATCATTTAATATGCACACATATATTTGCATATATTTACATGCACTACATATATACATATACACACAAACATATTCATTTCCTCAAAAAAAGGAAAAAAATATATAGTATCTGAGCTTTTGTTTCCACCAAAACAATAAACTAGCATAGGATACTTATTCCTTCCAAATCAACCAGATCAGATAAGCTTTAGAAGAAAGAGGCAAACATGGATTCCTGGCCAGGAAATAATAATAAAAGTAAGAGGCTAGGACACTGGGCCCTCTTGAATTGAATTATGGAGGGAGCATAGGTGTCTCAGAGTGGAATGAGAGAATAGTTGAAAAACATGCTTTAAGTTATAGTCTTGCAGCCCCCAACCACCCTGCCTGCCCTGTACTGCCTTAACAATGCATTCACTTGGGCGCCTGGGTGGCTTAGTCAGTTAAGCATCTGCCTTTGGCTCAGGTCATGATTTTGGGGTCCTGGGATCAAGCCCCGCATTGGGATCCCTGCTCAGTGAGGAGTCTGCTTCTTCTTCTCCCTCTGCCACTCCCCCACCCTCTGCTTGTGCTCATTCTATCATAAATACATAAATAAAAATAAATAAATAGGGGATCCCTGGGTGGCGCAGCGGTTTGGCGCCTGCCTTTGGCCCGGGGCGCGATCCTGGAGACCCGGGATCGAGTCCCACGTCGGGCTCCTGGTGCATGGAGCCTGCTTCTCCCTCTGCCTGTGTCTCTGCCTCTCTCTCTCTCTCTGTAACTATCATAAATAAATAAAAATTTAAAAAAATTAAAAAAAAATAAATAAATACATATCTTTTTAAAAAATCAAATAAAAACCTTTTAAAAACAATGCATTCACTTGCCTTTCTTTAGAGAGAGAGAAGAGAGAGAAAGCATGGGGTCGTGGAAGAGAGGGGAAAAGGGAAAAGCAGGCTCCCGGCTGAGGAGGGACCCCAGTGCCACCTTCCAGGACCCTGGAATCACGACCTGAGCAGAAGGATCTTGAGATCATGACTGAGCCACCCAGGTGCCCCACATTCACCTGCCTTTCATTCCAGAAACTAATCACAGCAATCCAGACTACCAATTTTGAGAGTATCAGGGCAAGCACTTACTAAGAGGAGAGATCTCTAGAAAAAGTGGGATCAGTTTTGTAATTTCCCCTGAGCACAACGAGGACAAAAATATCAATCGAAGAAAAATATTCACTCAAGGCAGGCATATTGCTATTGCTATCGCCTCCTTATATAGTCCTTATGTGCTATAAGAGCTTTTATCACGTAATAGCACAATAGGAGACACTAGGAGAGCAGTAGCATGCCGATTTAAATTACATTGACAACCTTTTTTTAATAAGAATATTTTGTGACAAATCCCAACTTTATTTTTTTTAAAGATGTTATTTATTCATGAGAGACACACAGAGAGAGGCAGAGACACAGGCAGAGGGAGAAGCAGGCTCCCTGTGGGGATCCCGATGTGGGACTTGATCCCAGGACGCCAGGATCACGCCCTGAGCTGAAGGCAGTCGCTCAGCTGCTGAGCCACCCAAGCATCCCAAATTCTAACTTTAAAAGTATAGGTTTGGGCATGAACAACTGTATACAATTTTTTGACATAGTGAATTACTGAAATCTATTTTTAAGGGCCAGATTTGTATCAAGAGCCGTTCATATAGTAGATCTAACTGATAAAGATCAGGGCCCTTTTGAATCAGAGACACCTGAAGGGGGAAATGCCTTCTTTACCACATTCAGAGGAGAGATTAGGCAAATTATTTAACATCCATGAGCTTCAGTTTCTATTTCTGTAAAATGGGTTTAATCTGTACCCCAAAGGAGAGTTGTTAAACATTAAACATTGATGATAATGTCCGGCTTTTGACAAGTGCTGTTGATTTACAATTATTATAGTCTAACTAAATGGTTTTAGTATTTTGATTATGTATTTGTATTGAAGCATAATTTATATTCAGTAAAATATACCCTTTACAGTGAATAGTTGAATAAATTTTGACAAGTATGTACAGCCTTAGAACCACCCCACAAACATAAAACACTTTCATCATCTCCAAAACTCCCTTGTAGTGAATGCTCTCCTGGCACTACCAGATTCTGCAAACTCTGATTTTTGTGTTTATAAAGCTGGGCCTTTTCTGGAATAGCATGTTCATGGAATCACACACCATGCCTCCTTTTGAGTCTGGGTTCTTTTATCAGCGTAATGGTTTTGAGGTCATCTCATTTAATTTGCATATACATTGCCATTCTCAAAGAAGGAAAATTATATTCAAAAAGTTAAATAACTTAAAATTATAGTTAGCGAGGTAGAAATCTGGCCCCAGCTTCATTTGTTTCAAGCTGTGTGTTTCACGTCTGCTATGTCATCTTGCCTTCCGTTAGCCTATAGCTTATTACACACTCCCACGACCAGTTCTGGAATTTATCTTCACATCCAGCCATTATTCCTCTACCTTCCTGTAAACAAAGACCAGGAAAGCTAACAAGCCAGATGACATCAGGGCATAAAGGGGAGTTCTGAGCAAACTGCCAGGTTTTGCCCTGCAGATGCCCAGAGTAGGTCACCATTTTATCTTAATACAGTTCACTATTCAGTTCTTACATGTATTTGTCACACAGTTTGGGGAACATTTTACATTACTCTTTCATTTAATTCCTACAGTAGTCTGGGGAGATATCATTAATTCTGTGTACAGATGAGGAAGCTAAGATGCAGAAAGGCCATGCAGCATGGCCAGCATGATGCAACCATGCAGCAGCTATGTTCGAGGAGCCAGGATTTACAGGCAGGTGTATCCCTCTCCAGAGTCTGGGCTTTGTTTACCAGGCCTTCTGCTGCCCACAGTGGAAGCTGCCATTTATTATTAGACAGTATGCTGGGCAGTTTTATAGACACCACGTCATTTAATTCTGATGAAGGTCCTGCACATAAATGGTATCAGCTCATTTCAAAAAGGAGGAAATTGATGCTCAAAAGGTTTAAGTAGTCTGTGCAAAAGGTTCCCATAACCACCAAGGAATCAGAATTCCATTCTAAGAGTGTGTGCCATGGTTCACGAGTCCATGGAGCACTGTGTCGGGGGAAAAGGAGGGAAAAAATGGAAGGGAAAAACGTAAGTAACTATGAGTGTATAGTTCAATAGAATCAGCTTCACTAAGTGTTTCTCTGTTAAATAGTAAGACAACATAAGAAAATAAATTAAGGTCCTAATACTAAAAGTTAACATTTCTGGGAGCACCTGGTTGGCTCAGTTGGTTGAGTGTCTGACTCTTGATCTCAGCTCAGATCTTGATCTCAGGGTCGCGAGTTCAAGCCCCGCATTAATATTTCTGTAGTGCTTCCACTGCACAAGGCACCACTCTAAGCATTTTACATATATTAACATGTTTACATTACAGAAAACCTTATAAGGTTGTCACTAGTATGATTCCATCTTACAGACATGAAAACTGCTAAGATTTGAACCTCACCTCTGATTCTAGAGTCTATGCACTTAAAGCATTCTACAGTTCTAAGGTTATTTTGAGTGTACTTTTCCTAAGTGTTAGAAGCAATAACCACTGAAAATCTTCACTTAAGATAGTGTTTCCCTGGGGTCCCTGGATGGGTCAGCCATTAAGCCACTGTTTCTTATCTCAGTTCAGGTCATTTGTTTCCCAATTTTTTTATTTTCTTCTTTCTGGTAAATGTCTCTCTCTTGCGTGTGCTCTCTCTATATATACATTTATTAAGTGTGTGTGTGTGTGTGTGTGTGTGTGTGTGTATACTCTCTCTCTGTGTGTGTATATACACACACAGAGAGAGAGAGAGTAAATATACTTGAAATTTGTATTACCTAGATATGAATTGTAGCAGGTGTATTTATTACATTAAGCAGTTTTGGGGGAAAGTCTGGTTTGGTATGATTTTATTTGTATGTATTCTCAGAAGTAGATATTTTTTAAAAGAAAAATAATTACATATATTAATAAATTCACGAGATGCTTGGGTGGCTCAGTGCTTGAGCATCTGCCTTTGGCCCAGGTCCTGATCCCATGATCCCTGGAGTCCCACTCCTTGCCAGGAGCCTGCTTCTCCCTCTGCCTATGTCTCTGCCTCTCTCTGTGTTTCTCTCCTGAATAAATAAATAAAATCTTTAAAAAAATAAAAATAAAATAAATTTATTATACTCCTTGGATACATGGAGATAACTATTCAACAAAAAAATTAAAACCTATTTCTTGAATTACATTATGACTCCAGGTTTTAAGGATACCTATTGTGGGTTTTTTTTTTTAAAGATTTTATTTATTTATTCATGAGAGACACAGAGAGAGAGAGAGGCAGAGAGACACAGGCAGAGGGAGAAGCAGGCTCCAAGCAGGGAGCCTGATGTGGGACTTGATCCCGGGTCTCCAGGATCACGCCCTGGGCTGAAGGCGGTGCTAAACCCCTGAGCCACCGGGCTGCCCACCTATTGTTTTTATTAAGAGCTTTTAATGTGAAGGCTTCTTTAACATACTTATATATCTACCAATAATCTTCTTTAAACTCTTAATCCTAGTGCATTCCTAAAGTATCTCTCATTCAAATCCTCACAACCAGTTTCTTTTCCTTTAACGAAATTAGTCAATACGAAAAAATATGTTGCTTTCTTGTTGGAACTATACTATCTCTAGGCTGTTTTCTTCAAGCCATTCAATGGGTTGAAGTTTCTCTGTTCAGACTTGTCTAACTAGTTTCATTTCAATTATTTGTAATTTGTTTTAATTTCTTTCAGCCGTGGACCTCAAATACATCTAGACATGGCATGCAGCTGATTAGAAAGCTCAAGCTCAAGCTCAGGGGGGGTCAGACCTTCAAGATCATATTCTTCCTCCTGCAGATGATGTATCGGTAAGTTCAGTTTCATTTAGCAAATGGCTTGTTTGCTCTACTGTCAGTGGCTAGATTTTCAATATGTCAGAGCACTGCCTGTGAGGTGTCCTCACTGGATTCATTCTGCATGGGTCCTGTGAGATTTCTGGAATTATTATAACAGCTGCATTAATTAATCTCTGTAGATGAAATCAATATTTTTGTATTAAAATCATTCTTATTATTTCATGTTGCCAAGTTCAACAGCTGGATTTTGGAAGTTATTGCAAAACCATATTGCCTTATGTTCTGATTGAGTCTGGCTTTGGGAGGTTGGGAAAGATGTTCATTTGTTTTAAGCACAGCATCCTTTAAGAAATCTGACTGAAGGGGGGATCCCTGGGTGGCGCAGCAGTTTAGCGCCTGCCTTCAGCCCAGGGCGTGATCCTGGAGTCCTGGGATCATGTCCCACATCAGGCTCCCTACATGGAGTCTGCTTCTCCCTCTGCCTGTGCCTCTGCCTGTCTCTCGCCCTCTCTCTCTCTCTCTGTGTGTGTCTTTCATGAATAAATAAATAAAAATCTTTTTAAAAAGTGTTAAAAAAAAAGAAATCTGACTTAATTTAGCTTCTATAGCATTTCTCTTTTGTTACTTTTCTTTATACCTTATAGTCAGTCCTGGGAACTAACATGGATTGAGAGATCCATAGCTGCAGAGACACCTGCCTTCCTCATAGAAATCCCAGGATTCCTGTGGGAAGAAGGGAAACAGGAGATCCAGACTGGGGAAAGCCTGTTTACTTTCTAAAATTTTAATTTTAAATATTAAAGAAAAAATCTCAATTATTTCAAGGTCTTTTTTTTTTCTAAAAGGGGTTTGCTACATGCAAAGGAGAGGGAAAATAATATTCTTTAGGATAACTTTATATGCAATTAAAATAGCGATTTTAAACATCCAGGATGACAATAATACCTCATTATTGCTTAATTTATGCCACTTTCAAAACATTTTTACATACATTATTTCATTTGATAGTCAAGACACCCTTGTGAGATCAGAATGGGTAACATTAACTCCCATTTTAAAATGAGGAGTCTGAGCAAAACAAATTTAGGAGCTTCTTTAGATCTATGGAGTTGTATGATGACACAGTCCAAGAACTGCCATCCACAAATCCTAAGACTTACTGGACTTTTTCAGCATCCCTAGGTGGCAAGGATTCTAACCAGGGGAATTTCAGAGATGAGAGTTTAACACTAGCTCAGCCACTAAGTTAGTAGACTTCCCTGGGCTTGCTTCCCACTAATAAAATACACATTTGTTTTAGTTCTTTAGTGAGCACACAGTAATTGTAAAAGAGTTTCTGAGATCCTTAGACAGGGTTTATAGGCTTCACACATAATCAGCACTCCATAAATATTTGTTGAACAAATGAATGAGTACACACATGTAAATTCTAGTATAATATTTTGCTTATTCTTTAAAAGTCATTGAATTAAAAAATGTTCATTTCATGTTTATGGAAACCATGATTTTGTAAAGAAGTAGTTCCAAACTTTCATATGGCACATTCTCCAAATTATTCTTTTTTTAAAAAAGATTTTATTTATTTATTCATGAGAGACACAGAGAGGCAGAGACATAGGCAGAGGGAGAAGTAGTCTCCCCGCAGGGAGCCTGGTGTGGGACTCAAATCCAGGACTCCGGGATCATGACCTGAGCCAAAGGCAGATGCTCAACCACTGAGCCACCGAGGTGTCCCATCCAAATTATTCTTTTAAAAATATCAAGTATCATGATTATAGACACCAAAAGTCCTCTTTTCTAATGAATATTTGTGTGTTTATAGAAATGTTTTTGGTTTAAGGAAAAGATTATAGGAGTAATATTGGGGGTCAGTGCTATTGTTCAGGATATCTGTGACATCTGGCAAAGAAAGAGGACAGTGGGAGACACTGGATGTGTATGGTTTCTTTAACGTAACTTCATAGAACACTCATCCAGGATTTGGAGGATTTGCAGGAAATAGCAAGTCACACTAATAGGAAGACTTAAGGACTGAAAAAGAGCAAATGCTTAATAATTACTATGATATTCTGTGTTTTACCTACAGTATTTCTACAATATATTTCATAGCCGTGATCACCATTTTTCTCTATTGACAAGAAATACAATATAGAAGTTTTCTCAAAATATATTTGATTCATATCTTCACTGTTTCTGCTACACTGAAACTTGGATCTCTTCACTATAAGTTTTGGGAACATCTCTACATTTCAGAGATAGTCCTTAGTGTTCAGACTTTTCTATGAATACCCATTTGCATTTGCCTTTGCATTAGCAGTATCCAAACCCCAACTCTTTCCTATAAATTAATTAATTGGGTGATTCATTCACATTAAATATCAATTATTTTTCCTATACCAAATGGCTTCACCTGAGATTACTGTCCTGTTCCCAAAAGTCTGGCATTGTTTTCTTCCTACAGCTTATTATCTTCAGCATTGCATGTTAATAAATACAAATATTAGGGTTCCTTCTCATTATCATTCTTTAGAGAAAAACATAGTCCTAGGAAAAACGTTACAAATATTGATGATTTAAATTTTAATTTCATTAATTTTGGATACTCTTGTCAATCAACTGTTAAATCACCAAGTTTATTCTCTAATATATTCAAAAATGCTATCTTCAGGGTTAAAACCAAAATAACGAAGTAAAACCTCCATTTTACCTACTGAACACTAAACTTTGTATAAATTGTCAACTACACTTTACTGTTTGATTCATTTTCAACAAACTCACAGTGCCTCATATGGACTACCTACTGGCTGATTTAATTCTTGCAACAATCCTATGATTAGATGCCTCTATTCTCTCCACTGTATAGATGAAAAAAATAACTGGCCATACATCACAGGCAAAGGAGTGAAAGGGTAGGGATTTGAGGCAGTCTGGAGACAGAATCTGAGCTTAATTATTAGTATATCCTGCTTTTCCTTCTTTTTGATAATTTTCAGGAGACAATAACCTTTTGTTTTTTAATTTAAAAACTGAGTAAAAGATTCATAGCGCTAAAAAAGGTTCACTCAGTAGGGCTTTATCTATAGTCAACAAATTGAAATATATATTCATATCATTAAGAGTTAAAAGCTATTTATAGCATCTTCTTTGTTCTGCTTTCCCTCTTTTCCAATTATATGGCATACAGGGAATAATATACTTGTAGATAAAGCAGGCAGGTTGGCAGATATGTATATAAAGTATATGGAAACCCAGATGTTAGGAATTTATGATCAGATGAGTATATAAATCCTTATTGGGTGGTAGTTATTTTTAATTATATAATAACACCTGTCACTTATTATCTATTTACAAAATGTGAATCGTTTTCCATACAGTATCTCATTTATTGTTTGCAATCCTCATATGAGTTAGCTATTATTACCCTCTTTTAAAGAAAAAGAGAGGTGCCGCAGATCATGATTGCCAACTTTAAACTCAAGCTATCCACTCAAGCTATCCACACCATCCTATCCCCGATATATTCACAGGCCTGTGAAACATACTGGGCAATGACAACAGGTTGACCCACCAGGGGTCTAAAAATAAGCGACATTTGAACAGTATACTACAAAAGGCTTTCACATTCATTATCACCAAGGTCTGGTTACAAATGGGGCAGATAGCTTTGAAGTCAGACTGCTCGTTCAGGCCTTCCCTCCCTTCAGCTCTGTTAACTATTTTGCTTCACCTCTCTGATCCTTAGTTTCATTAATGAGCTGGTGATAAGGTTAGGTAAGGCCCACTCCACAAAGCTGTGATAACAATCCTATGAGAATTCCTGACCAGAAGTAGAAATTTGATACGTGCTAGAGTCCTTCATTTACTCAATCTATTGCCTCATGTCTCTGGGTAGTATTTATTAACAGCACTTTACAAATAGAGAAACTGAAATTCAGAGAGGTTTCATAAACTTTTCAAAATATATCTCAAAGAATTACAAGCAGGAACTGTAGACTAAGTCTTCTGATCCTAAAAGGTAGAGTCTATCTGTAATACCGGGACTTGGAGAGGATTTGTCTAGGCAGGTGAAGACTTAAAGGAATTTTTAAAAATCGTTGTCAAAGGAAAATTCCCTGTTTTTTCCTTTACTAAATTACTAAATTTCCTATTCCACTACCACACTCACAACACTTCTGACACCAGCTATGTGGGGGTTTCCTCCGAGCAATTTTCCATACCATCCAGGTGTTATACAATTCCATTCTGGCATTAACTGGAATTAGCACAGGCTCCACCAGTTAAGGACTCAGTCTTTTTTTTTTTTTTTTTTTTTTAATTTATTTATGATAGGCACACAGTGAGAGAGAGAGAGAGAGGCAGAGACACAGGCAGAGGGAGAAGCAGGCTCCACGCACCGGGAGCCCGACGTGGGATTCGATCCCGGGTCTCCAGGATCGCGCCCTGGGCCAAAGGCAGGCGCCAAACCACTGCGCCACCCAGGGATCCCCAAGGACTCAGTCTTATAAGACCTTCTCTGCCCCTACTTCAGACAGAAATCACAAGTCCAGGTTGTTGTTACCTGAGTTCCTGACAACTGACTATAAATTGGAGCTTCCCACAATCCCCTCCTCTAGTTTTTTTAATATGCTAGGATGGCTCATAGAACTCAAGAAAACAGTTTACCTACAGGATTACCAATTTGTTCCAAATGATATTAAAGGATATGTATGAACAGCCAAATGAAGAGATAAATATAACAAGGTCCAGAAGGGTCTCTAATGTAGGAGATTTTGTCTTTATAGAATTGGGGTGTACCACCCTCCCAGCACACGCTGTACTAATCCAGAAGGTCTCCAAACCTCATACTATTAGGATTTTTGGAGGCATCATCACATAGACATGATCAGTTATGAACTCAGTCTTTAGCCCCTCTGCCCTAAGAGGATTATGACAGGTGGGGGGTGGGAGAATGAAGTTGAAAGTTCCAAGTCTGTAACCATAGCTTGGTCTTTCTGGTGACTAGTCCCAATCCT